CACCTGCAGTGGGGTGAGCAAACTGGCTTCCTGAACAGCCTGGGCAGAATCGCAGCTGGGCTTCTCTCTCAGCTACATGACCTCGAGCAAATCATTCAACCTGTCTGATGTCATCTGTAAAATGGGAGTGACTGTCCTCCTGCAGGGGGCTGTCGGGAGGAGTCAGTGAGACAGCAGAATCAAAAGCCCAGCCCTTTGGTGTAAACTGGACGGTGAGCACAGGGGAGGCTAACCTTCAGTGACCTGCGACCTCTTCCCAAGCTTCCCAGATTTGGCGGTGGGGTCCCTCGGTCTCTGTCTGTGAAAATCTGCTCTTCCCTGGGAGTTTAGCATCATAACAAGTCTAAATTTAAGTTAATTCAAATTAAACAAACTTAGAATTCAGGTACTCTGTTGCACTAGCCACATTTTAAGAGCTTGAGAGCCACGGGGGCTTAGTGGCTATCGCACTGGACAGGGCAGACACAGAACACATCCACCATTCCAGAAAGCTCGACTGGGCAGCACTGCCTTAAGGCAGGAGACAGCTCCAAGTTGGGAGTTAGGAGATCTGGGTTCTAGTTCCAGCTTGGAATTGGTTCAGGCTGCTTAAACAAGTCCCTTTTCCTCTTGGAGCCTCAGTTTCTCCATCTGTACAGCCTATCCCACACTCTGAGCAAGGCAGAGCACCGTCAGTGTTTGATGAGGACCTTTTGATTGATTCTATTGCCCCACTGCCTTGGATCAGGCCCCTGTGGAAACCGGTGAGTAGGCGGAGCCCTGATGATGTGGAGGCTGAGGGACCCACCTGCCCAGCCCCAGGCTCCAGCAGCTCCAGATAATACTCCGTGGAGTCTAAAGTTTGTCAGGCGAGCCTCCCTGAGTCTCAGCGTCTCAGTCCATTGTCTCCAGGTCACCAAAGCCGGAGCCAGGGGGCAGGCCTCACTGAGGGCCAACGTGTATCTTTCCATAGACTTATGCAGGCCTGAGAAGCCCGCAGACCCCGAACTCATCCTTCCTGAAGCAGGCAGGGCCTCCGGGAGGAGGCAGCCTCATGGAAGGCAGCCCAAAGGGGAGGGGAGGCACAGAGTGGAGAGTCAGAAATGCGCTATCAGCACTGCCCGTCCTCCCCACTTCCTCTCTTGAACGGATCACATCCTGTTATTGTGTGGACAGAGAAGGCCAGGGGCTGGGGAGGGAGGCAGGGTTCCGACTAAGTGAGTGCGGAGGGAAAGGAGGAGATGGAGGGAATGTCACAGTGGGCATCAGGTTATGCTGGCAGCCTGGTGCCATCTCAAGGAGGGAGAGGCCAGGACATGGGTGGGATAAACCAGGAAAGGCAGCTGGGCCACAGAAAGAGCCTGACCTTTGGAGTCAGACTTACCTGGCTTGAAGTTCCAAGACTGACACAGATTGTACTGCTGTGCAACCTTGGGTAAATCACCTACCCTCTCTGAGCTTCAGTTTTGTCATCTGCAAAGTGAAGCTACTAATTCTCACCTCCCAGGGCTGGCATAGGATTTCAAAAGAATCTACATTGAGTGCTTGTGTTTTGTAGAAAGAGCCGTTATTATTGCTAGAAATGGGGTTGGGATAGGGTTATACCTGGGGATGGCAGAAGAGAGAAAGAGGGTGGGGGGGGAGTGGAAACATTAATCATTCCTCTGGACCTGCGGCATGCTGGCCAGTGTGGGGGAGCTGGCAAGGGGCTTACCCTGTCCCTGTCTGTCAGGAGCCCAGGGGCTCAGGGGCTCGGAGGCTGGGTGGAGAGTGCATGGAGGGTAACAGGTACAGAGCCCTATAACCCCAGAAGAAAGTGTTGGGAGAGAGGAGTGCAGGGGCCAGGGGAGACCCTGGAGGCCCAGAGTACATGTTTGCTGAATTGGAAAGAACCTGAGGTGGAGGCTGGGGCATGTTTCTTGAAGAATGTCATGTCCTTTAATCCAGGTGCCTCTGCAGGAAGGCTCAGCCTGTCTTGAGCCCCAGGCATCTCCTCTCAATGGCGGATGCGAGTTGCTCCAGCGATGCTGGTCCTCCCTCCTGGGGGCCCTACTCCAGCCCAGGCCACCAGGAATCAGACAGGGCCCTCTTTCTATCTTCTGCCATCCCCACAATCTGTGGCAGTCTTGGAACTTCAAGCCAGGTAAGTCTGACCCCAAAAGCCAGGGTCTTTTTGCAGCCCAGCTGCCTTTCCTGGTTTACCCCACCCACGTCCTGGCCTCTCCCTCCCTGAACCAACACCATGTCGACTGCCCTTACGGCCTGTCCTCAAGCCGAGCCCATTGGTCTGGGCAAGCTCCCCCGTGCCCACACTCATTGCCCGTGGTCCTGGGCAGATTGCTGGACAAGCTGAGCTGTTAGCTTCCCTGCAGCACAGCCCAGGCCTATCTGCTCACCGAACGCCAACTACTTATTGGCTATTTCTTCTTCCGCTCTTGAACGTCAGTGAGCACTGGCTCTGGACTCAGACCTCAATTCAAATCCTGCAAAATCTATGTGAAACCCCAGCCCCTCTCTAGGCCTCATTTCCTTCTCTGGACAACAGAGAGAATGTCTGGGGGATCCTGACTTACTTGGTTCCTTACTGTGACTCATGATGGCCACTGCTGGACACTGTGTGCAGCCCCATGGCATGTCCTCAGTACGCGGGACAGAGGCACTTACCTGACTTGCGCGGAGCCATGGGGCCAGAGGGGGCACCTTCAGTTCTTTGCAAGTAGAGAAGAGGCAGTGGGCAGCACAAGGAGGCAAGGTTGCCATGAGGACTTGGATAAACAGCTTCCTGATCTTCACCAGCTGCTGGGGCCCAGCCAGAGAAACCTCACACCCTACTTCCCCACCAACAGAAGCAACCGAAGGGGCAGAGCGGTCCATTTGTCCCTAACCAACCCAGGACTGTGGTATTAGGTGGGGGTTGAGGAACATTGCAGGAGGGGTGTTTGTAGGGATGTTTGTAGGGATGACCCAGCCTCCCACCCATTCATCCCATCCCCCCTCTCTTCCATACTGGCCTCAACACTGAGCTAGGACATTCCATACATTAGAACCTCTTCATACAGTAAATATTGAATGGGTCCCATGCTGGGTCTTCCAGGGCCTTCGGGAGGCCTAGAGACAAATGAGGCGTGGTCTGACCCTTGAGGGGCTCATGTTTGAGTGGGGAAGCAGACAAGGGGGCAAACATTAGCCAGCACAGAGGGAAGGAAGGCCCCACAGTGTCAGGGCAGTCTTCTGGATGCTGGAGACAAGTTAGCCAGATGAATGGAAGATGGACACAGATGATAGCAACAAAAAGTGTAAAACTGGATGGTTAAAAAAAAAAAAAAAAAGGCAGTGGGACAGAAAGGAGAGTCCAGCAGGAGCAGAGAAAACAAAGGGCAGAAGGGAAAGAACACAGTCCCTTCCCTGAGGTGGGCACAGGATGTCCTGGGAAGCAGGAAGCCTAGTCCTGCCCTGCTTGCCACTGTTCTCACCATTCCAGTGCTGTATGGCCCTGGGAAGATTCCCTTCCTCTTTGGGCCTCAGTCTTCCCACCTGGAGATGGAGACGTTAGCCCAAATGATCCCCAAGGGCCTGGCCCACCTGGGCAGTCAAGAGCCTCACAGCCTCTGCCTGCTAGTCAGAGAGTCAGCTCCTCCTGACCTCTCTGGAGGTGGACTGCCTTGCCTTCTCCTGGGAAAGGTCCTTCCGGAAATGGGTGCTCCTCCCTTCTCATTTTCCTCCCCTGATGCTCTTCTGGCCAGAGCATCAGTGACCGCTGTGTTGGGCTTGGCTAACCACTTCCTCAACTCCAAACCCCCTTTTATCATAGCCTCTGAAATTACTGTCCTGTGCACACACTCTCTCTCTCCCTGCCACCCTGCCCCCACCCCCACCAGGACTGTCTCATCATCCTGTCCCCCCAAGGGCCTCTTTTCCCCGGGGCCAGGGAGAAGCACACTTGGAGTCTTCCAAAAGCCCAGAAGCTTCTCTCTGGGCCAGGGCATGATCCCAAGTTCTGCCAAGCCCTGGCCCTCCTAGCTACAGGTGGAAGCTTCCTAGGACAGGGGCCACCAAGATCCAAGCCTGGTGAGATGAGTAAGGCTGACCCCAAAGGAGCCAGGGTAATCCATGGGCCCCTTGAGTTCCCTTCTGAGCTCATCTTTTTTCCCTAATACTAATCAGCTTCTAATGTGCTGTATCTTTACTACATCAATCCCATAATCAATGTATTTCATATGTTCACATGTATCTGATCTGTGTGTTTACCGTCTCCCTGCTAGAATTCAAGCAACACAAGAACAGGGATGTTGGTTTTCTTCACTGCTGGATCTCCAGTACCTAGAATAACACCTGGCCCATTGGAGGGGTTCAAAAAATATTGTTAAATGAAAGGATTGGCTCTCCATTGGAAATTCTGACCCACTGAGCTCCTTGAAGTTCCAACGGTCCATTTGCGGAACCCCACCCTCCCCTTCCACCCTACCCCTGACCTCCCCTCCCTGCCCAGAACCCGGAGTCCCTGCCTGTACGGGCCTTCCCATTCCTGAGCCTCCATTCACTGATCACTAACCCCAAAGCCTCAGCCTGTCCCCGAGCCCCACGTGAGTCCTGCACCCCCAGACCCTAAAGAGCCAGGCATAAGAGAGGCAGCCTCCCTTTGAGTCATCAGGGCCCCTGGGATCCTGCTCTGCTGAGAACTTAGTCTGTCCTGAACCAATGATAAAAGCAACAGGCCCAGCCGTGGGGGCTGAACCCAACGCATACAGGGGACCATCTGTGGGGTGGCCCCGAGCCAAAAGTGTGGGTGCACGATGCTAAGAAGAGTCCCTCGCTCTGAGGTCTGGCGGAGCGAAAAGAATGGAACCTTCATGGGGGGAGCCTCCAGGTGGTGGGTGGTGGGTGGGATCCCACCCCGAAAGGACAGCTGAGCTCTGGAGTTCCCTCCATTTCGGGAGAAACAGACTCTTACCAGGCCCCTTCCTTGTAATGTCCCAACTCCCAGGCGTGGGGGGTATAAGCTGCAAGGACAGAGTCCAAGCCCGTCTGTAAAACTTTTATTTAGAAATCTTCCCAATATATCCTTATATATATACACACATCATCACCACAAGGGTTGTGTCGCTAAAGAGTCACGCCCACAGTGTTGGCCTCCGGGCTATACAAAGGTCAAGGTACCTGGAGCGGTTACTCCTCTTCTGCAGAAAAATGCAGAGACCAACACAACCCATCACGTACAGTACAACATAGACGGAAAGTGCTGGGCCCGCCCACAGGAACAACGCTCTATGTACAGGGGCAGGGGCGAGCCTTCGGCGGGGGGGTCACGTACCATCGGAATCACAAGTACGACCAGACCATCCCCAAAGGCCGAGATAGTTGTCGGCTGACTACAGATGCTGGGCCCTTTGCTCTGTTTTTGGAAAAGAAGAAAGGCTGTACCATCTTGTCGTTTGTCACCGCCAATAAAAGCATAAGAATTTTCCTGAAAAGATGCGAATCCCTCCAGTTCTTACAATCATCTCTGTTCTCAATTTTTTCCCCCTTTACATCTTTTCCCTTGGCACAGGTATTATTCTTGGAAGGTTGCCATTTCTTCATAGGTGACGAGACAGAGGAAGGAGGAGGGTGTAGTGGGTGGGGCGAGGGGGTGTGCAGATGAACATTAAAATTTTGGATCTTCAGTCAGTCTTACAAAAACATGAGGCTTTGCCCATCCCTACCCAGGCCCGTTGCAGGAAGCTGTGTTATGTCTTACATGTTCTTTGCCCATATCTTTTTCCATTCTCACTCCTCTACCTCTCCTTGGAAGGAGACACAAATGAGGTCAACCTGGAGAAATGAGGACAATCAGGATAACTCAGGCAAAAGTGGTTTGGAACCTAAATTACCCAGATCCTGCGCAGTCAGGCAGACTGGCCCACTGCCCAGGCCCTGGACTCAGGATGGGAAACCCCATTGCAGGAATGATGCTGAGGTCAAAAGAGTTCTTTCTGGTCTCAAAATGCTTCTACTTTCATGATTTCACTTGGAATGGAATCCACAGCCCTAATGGACAGGCCAAGCCAGGATATTTTATGAGAAACGGACACTGAGAGAGGGATAACTTATCCACGTCATTCTGCAAGTCTGAGAGAAGAGGAAGCCAGAAGCCTGAGTTCCTGATAGAATGAGCGATCCGTCTCCTAAAACCTCTCCATCCATCCATACTGTGGCCACTGTTCACTCCGAGTCAAATTAATCCACCGGGAAACAAACGCAGCTTTAGGACCGAGGATAGGAGCTCCCTCTTTACACAGATGGGATTCCTCACAGGAGCTTCCAAGCATTGGAAAGAAAACAAGCCTAATGTTCAGCAAAATAGGATGCTGGGGGTCTGAAATGGACAGAAAGTCTGAGTGCTAAAGGATTACCACGTTGCTCCCCTACTCACAAACTGGACCTCACAACTTAAGAGGGAGGGGACAGAGCCAGGTTTGTGCCCTGTGAGCACAGGGCTCTGCTCAAGGCCCTTCACTGGGTGGGACTGTCTTCCCTTTAGCCTCAAAGACGGAATCTGGTGGGAGGTGGCTGTGGTGACTTGAGGCTACAATGACACGTGTATAGGGCTTGTGCGGGGTTTGTTCCATGGGTGTGGAACGCATGTCACAGGCAGGCCTGGCATTAAGAAAACCATGTCCCACCACCTGGATTGACACAAGAGATCAACAAGGGGCAGTGGTCCACTCTACAAAAAAATTCTTCACTTTACAAAAGGACTTGCAGTAGTATTTCTTTAAAAGATGAAGGATAAGGGTTCGATTTACAAAAATTTCATGTACAGCTCTCAGAGGGGGGTGCTCCTGTGGTGGTAAGCCAGCCTTCCATACACACCCTAGATGACTGAGAGTTGTAGAATCCAGGGGTGCTGGAGATTCTGCTGCGTGAATGTGCACTTGTCTGGATCTCAGCCAGGGCCTGGTCTCTGATTGGTTTTCCCCCTGCCTTCCAAGTGGGGCTACAGCCTGGGTCTTATCAAGACCTAAAGATCCCACCAATAACTAAAGTCAAGCAAAAATCCCAAATGCCAGGAATTCGCAGGACAGGGTTTGTGCTCAGCTGGGTTCAGACCAGACCATCAGCAGACACACACCCCGGAGAAGAGCATCGGGGGACCCACAGACGGGGCTGCACATCCACGCTAAGCAGAGGCGCATGGCCATCGGCACATGGCCATCGGCACACAGCCATTGGCTCGCCACTAGAACAGCGGCGGGGAGTGGAGAGTACAGGCAGGCTGCTCTGAGACAGCGCCAGGATTCGAACCCAAAGCCCCAAAGAGCTCTGGTTCAATTTCACACTCACCATTCTCCCTCTCTCTGCCTTCATGAGGCCTGCCAAGGCAGGCTCTCAGCTACAGACTCAGTCCCCGCAAGGATTAGGAAGGCAAGTCTCAGTGGGGAGAAAGCAGAGCTTTGATCCCCGGGGCAAGCAGTAAGGGCTACTGGGTTTTCTGACCCTCTGGCCCAGCTAGTTGAGAGCAGGCTGTCCACTGGCCATCTTCTTCAACCAGGCCCTGTAGAAGGCACCTCGAGGCTTGTGACTGTCTACAGCAGCTGGCAAGCTGGGTGGACCGACATGGGCCTGGGTGAAGATGGGGCTCACCCAGAAATGGGCGGCGACTGGGTACCTACATATTTGGACAGAGTGGCCACACAAGCCACACCAGCCAGCTTGGGAGGGGCTAAAGGCAAGGCAGAGGCTGCTGGATGCTGCCGGGGAGAGCTGATAACCCCAGGTCTTGGCAAAGACAAGGCCCCTAAGCTCCAGGCCAAAAGCAGTGTCAGTCCAGCTTCTTACTGGAGAAGTCTTAGGGATTGGGGGAAGGGGGAAGACCGTGCCGTCTTCATAAAAAGTACCTACCACTTTGCTCCATTTTTCTGTTCTCCCACTGAGGCAGAAGTCAGGGAAGCTGCCCCAGGGGCAGTTAGAGCTCTGCCAAGTTCAGACACCAAGGAAAGCTCATTGAGTCCATTGCTCTGCTTCAGAGCTGCCCAATCCTCACCCCACCTGCCCTGAAGCCCACGGGCCCGGCGGCCTGAGGGTGCCCTCCCGGCTGGTCCTGAATGGCCCCGGCCCCATCACCGAGGACCTGCTCCATCAGCGGCTGGCAGCATGGTGGGATGGAGGCTGCGGGCTGTGTGCTTGGGGGCCGGCTCTTCCGTGTAGCTGTCCGGGCTGGCCGCCCCATCCAGCGAGCTGCCGCAGCTGGAGTTCGGGGACAGCACGTCCTGCAGGAGGTCATCAGGAGGTGCACCGCCCCCTCCCCCACCGCCTCCACCACCAACCCCCACCACAGGGTCCTTGCCAGGCTTGGCCCGCTGGGTACCCTCCTCCTCCTGGTCATTGAGCAGCTTGGCCAGGAAGTTGATGTACTTCATGGCCAAGCGGAGGATCTCATTCTTGCTAAGCTTCTTGTCTGGGGGATGTGTGGGGATCAGCTTGCGGAGCTCAGCAAAGGCCCCATTCACATTCTGCTGCCGCCATCGTTCTCGGCTGTTGGTGAAGATGCGTCGCACTACTTTGGTGTGGGGACCTGGAGGTAGGAGGACAAGAGTTTAAAAAAATGAGATGGACGTCCCCCATGGCACCTTCTCCTATACTATTCTAAGAGTGATGGAAACTATCCTTTGGAAAACTTGGGAAACCTAGAATGCCTTCTTGCTTTTTACTTAGAAAACTCCTGGGGCGCCTGGGTGGCTCAGTCATTAAGCATCTGCCTTCAGCTCAGGTCATGATCCCAGGGTCCTGGGATCGACCCCCGCACTGGGCTCCCTACACAATGGGAAGCCTGCCCTCTCCCTCTCCCACGACCCCTGCTTGTGCTCCCTCTCTCACTGTCCCTCTCTGTCAAATAAATAAATAAAATCTTTACTAAAAGAAAAGAAAACTCCTACTCAGCCTTCAAACCCCCATTCATCTGTTTCCTCCACTCGGGGGATTTCCCTCAACCCCTCCGGCCAGACCTCACCAACAACCATGGCCCTACAACTCCCTGACCTCCATCATCTTTTTTTTTTTTTTTAATATTTATTTATTTGAGAGAGAGAAAGACAGCATGTGCGCACATGTGTGCACACATCCAACCGTGGAGGAAGGGGTGGGGCAGAGGAAGAGAGAGAGTCTTTTAAACAGTCCTGTGCTGAGCGTGGAGCCTGATGAGGGGCTCAGTCTCACAACCTGGAGATCACGACCTGAGCAGAAACCAAGAATCAGACACTTAACTGACTGAGCCACCCAGGCACCCCTCTGTGACTTTGGACCATTAGTGTCTATGCTTGTCTCCCTCTTGGGGCTGTGAGGCATTTGAGGACTGGGACCTTATGTCATTCATTCATTGTGCCAAGAGGCCATACAGCCCTAGTAAGAAAGACAAACTCTGGAGCCAGACTTTCTGGACTGAATCCCTGACTAGGACTCACTAGACAGTGACTCGGCGCAGGTTACTTAAACTCTCTGTGCTTTAGCTTAGTCATCTGTAAAACGGAGATAATACAAGAGTAACTGAAATCATGAGACTGTCACATGGATCGAACAACTACCACAGGTAAAGTCCTTAATACAAACCTGCCTCAGATTAAACATTCAGTAAATGGCAGCTACCGTCACCCATCCATCGGTTACATACTAATAACCGGGCACCGCGCCGGACACCGTGTCAGGCACTAAGGGAAATAGGGTCCCTGTCCTCATGAAGCATACATTTTAATGGTGATGACAGATGATGAACAAGTAGCAAACAAATAAAGAAACCGGAGGCCGAATGTAGTAACAGATGGAAAGGAGCCACTACGTTTAGCTGAGGTGGTTGGGGATGGCATATTGGAGAAGGAGACATCTATAAGGTAAGAACTTGAGCTGAAGAAGAGCCAGCCAGGCCCAGGTAGGGAAGACAGACCACCATGTGCAAAGGCCCTGAGCTGGAAAATGGCCCAAGCCAACCTGGCTAATTAGTGTGGGTGCGATCAGAGTAGACTGGTTCCAGGCCCCACAGGTCTCTGCAGTAAGTGTGGGGACTCTATTCTAAGAGTGATGGAAAACAGGCTAGGCTGATCATGCTGGCAGGTGGGGGGAATGGCGTAGAGAGTAGAGAAAAGAGGGAAAACAACCTACCCTGTGGGCTCTCTCCCCAAGAAAAGAAATGGAGAGATGGGCCATGCAAGGCTCGAAACAGGTGTCTGAGGGCTGCCTCAGTTTCTCCAAGTCTACTGATGACAGACTAGACTGAAATTCAGACTACATTCATGTCCTGAGCCTTGTGAAGCAGTGACAGACCCCAGTGTGCATGTTTTGGGCACCTATGGCATTCGAAGCGCTGCGCTCAATGTCCCAGCCCGACCTGGCGTTCCCAAAGCCAGAGAAAACAGAAGGGGGCCCTCCTGATGCTCCTGAGCTCCTGGGCTGAGGTGGCCGCTCCCCTCCCCAACACTGAGGCCAGCCCAGCACTGGTCTCCCAGCTGTCACCAGGAAGCTCCATGCACTGAAAGAACTCCCAGGCTGGGGATATTTGTTCGCCCTCTTCAACTTCAGAAAGGGGAAGCTAGGATAGGCGAAAACAGGAGAGGAGGGGTCGAGGCCTCCCCTTGGACCTACAGCTTGCTTCCCCGCTAAGGAGAGCCCAGGATGGCTCATCCGGTCATGGACACTGGCATGGACACACATACACACGGATGCACACATGCATGTATATACATATACATATACACACACACCACCTCTCAGGGAGGACCACGTACCCCCTGCAAGCTGATTTTCCAAACCCCAACAGGCCCAGGGCCCAGCTGACTCTTTGCCAAAGACCAGCCCCAGACTGGGAAAAAACAGCACACCTGCCGGCCGGCCTCCCCTAGGCTGCCTGCCGCAGAGGAAATAACTCTCTGTTCTCTGGCCTCTGGGCCAGACAGAGGGCCGTCCCTCAACTGTGACATGAGGAGGTCCATCCCTGCTCCATGGCTAATGCTGGCTGACCTGGAGGGAGCAACTAGGTGGGGAAGAGACATGACGATTGCTGTCACGGCTGCAGCGAGACAGAACTCCGAAAGGAGGATCTACCCCCAGCCAGGTCCTAAAAACACTTTACCCCACTGTACTCTCTCAACAAGCTGTGAGGAAGCTACTACTCTCTCCACTTTCCAAATGAGGAAACAGAGAATCATAAAAGTTCAGCAGTAGGAATCCACACCAAGTCCCGACTTCAGCCCTTGCATTAGTTCCACCTCTATGGATTCTTTTTGGTGAAATCTCTGATTCCAAAGTCTCAAGGACCTACTCTGTACTGCCCCCCCCCCACACACACACCTTCCTCTTCACCTCCATTTCTGTCTATTCCTCTCTGGCAGCTTCCCAGAGAACTCCCCACCTCTCTACACCTTCCTCTTCCCCAAGTCTGTCCATCCCTCTGTGTCCTCCACCTCTCTGGGGCCAGGCACTGAGTAGGTGCTCAGTAAATATTGGAGACATTTATGAGTAATGGCTTCCCTGTAGTTCTGCACTCCCCCCAAACCCTCAACTCCTGTCCCCTTCTCCTCCTTCCTCTCCTCTGTGCCTGATTCTCCTATCTTCTGCCCTCCATAAAAAATGTCTCTTCCCTGGGGAACTTTGTGGCTGGTCCTGCCTACTCTCCATTTGATATACCTCCCTCCCCTCTCTAACCCAGCAGCACTGACAACCCACCACCCTTCCCTCTTGGACCTACATGCCTCAAGTCCCTGGCTGGTTAGGTCCTATAAGGTCTGTTCCTTGTCCAGACTCTATGCCCTCTCCCCTCCAGAACACCACAGAGGACTCCTCTCCAGAAGCTCCAGCTCCATACATATCCCTCCTGCTGGCTCCTTGAATAAATCCCAGTCCGACTTCAAAGCCTCAGGTGTCCTTCCCACAGGGGTCCCAGGCCCCAGTGCAGCTGACACATGGGCAGCCGCTCCAGGGATTTGCTCCAAGTCCTGGGCTCTGAAGGGCCTGCTCTCCCGCCACCTGGTGTTGGGTCTCATCTACTACATGGGAAGAGGGCCAGGATACTCCCAATTTCCCATTCATCCAACCCCTTTCCCAAGTTCAGGGTGGAAGACTACTCAGGTAGTTCACAATAGTAGTGCTGGGGACCTTCTAGAGTATGCGGGGAGGGCAGGGTAGATTCTGTGATGTCGGGACGGGAATTCCAGGTCTCAGCCCTGGGTATGGAACAGGGGACAAGAGGGCCCCACAATAATGGGACCTGGGACAAGGGCCTTAACTGTCCAATTCCAGGCAGAGAGCAGATTCCAGATTCCAAAAAGGACTTGGGAGGAGGTGCAAGAAATCCCTGAGGGTCTTCTGCCCTCCCCCTGGGATTCTTGCCAAGTGTGGAAATGGAGCTACAGTGGGGACTGCAACTGACCCTAGAGATTTGGGCTAAATGCTGCAATGTGTCCTCACTGCCATGTGCCCTCTTCCCAGGAGCGTGAGGATGGCCCCCCCCAGCCCCACCCACGACTTCCCCTTGACCCAGGTCAGTTGCAGGGCAAGGACTCTCCTTCCAAGACAGCTAACCCATCTATGTGAGACACCTGTGGTGTAGTCCCTGAAGATCCCACCTTCAGGGGCTCTAACCAGCACGAGGGGTGAGTACAAAGGGAGAGGCAGGTAGACTCACCATCAGTAATCTCCATCTCATAAGGGGAGGGTCTCCTCTTCACTCGGTTGTTGGTGGCGAACATAGGAAAGGCATCTGGCTCCCCAAAGAACCCACTGTGGGAAGGAGCAGGCAGATCACAAGATAACATGTAGGTGGAGGGGAAAAAGCCTCCTGAGGGATCCTCCCCACAGGTTCCTCAGCCCCCTCCCCCCAGAAATCAAGGGCAACCCTGCTCCCTTCATACCTGGGTTTGGGATAGAAGGAGCATCACACACAGACACCCAAACACACACACAGAATGCTGCCACTCTCTCTCCTGGGTGAGACAAACAAGGGAAGAAGGGGCCACACACCCACACACCCCTCCCTCTGACACACAGTCAGAAGTGAACACATGGAGCAAACGCAAAATTGAATACACACACCCCACCGGCAGACATACGCCCCTTCCCAGAAGCGAGCACACAATCCACAGACACCTACCCTCCCAAACAGGTACCCACACAGGCAGGGGGTCGCATTCACACCTGATGGTGGGTAACTCGCACCTCACAGGGCACACGGTCCCTTTTCCCACAAATCACCCTCACCATTGCCCTGGCCCCAGGGGGCCTGTGGACAGACAACAGAAAGGAAACCTCCCTCCACTGACCGCTGCTTACCCCCCCCTACCCCCCCCCCCCCCACCCCGCCCCACCACTCTGGGCTCTCAACAGCTGCCTCCTCAAGGTCTCCTATGACTCACTAACTGCCCCACATTGTCAACCCCTGCCTCATGTTCCTGTCTCCACCCCAAACCTATCTCCATCTCCCCACCATCTCAGTGGCCCCAGCTCCGGGAACCGGCACCTTAACAGGAGGGGGGTACAGACCCCAGCCGGAGACGGAAGCTAGGGGCATAGGGGCTCAGGAGGGGAGGAAGGAATCCGCTCCCCACACCGGCCCTGTAGCGGTTTCAGGGGAGGGAGCCCTCTTGCAACCTCAGATCCCTATCTCTTATCTGTCCACTGAGGGCTGCAGCTTCCAGAAGAATTGCATGGCGAGCGCATTCAGACACATTCTTGCTCACACTCAAACGACTCCCTTTGGTCCACAGCACGCGCGCGCGCGCACACACACACACACACACACACCCCATACAGCGCGGGCCAGCGTGCTTCTGCTCACTGGCAGCCACAGCCCGCGCTCCCGAAGGCGTGGACCCACTCTCGGGCTTCCGCACACCCATGCACTCTGCACCCCACAGCCGGCTCCGCGCACACGCACACGCCCGCAGAGGACCCCCAGTCGCTGGCGCTCGGGCTCAGGCGCGCGGGCTTTTCCGCCCTCGGGTTCATAGCACCCCTCTCTTCCTGCGCTCCCGCCGCTCCGCGCCGTCGGGAGGAAGGCGGTGGCTCCGAGGGGCAGGAGGGACGCCTGGGCCGAGGGCTCCCCCCCAACCCCGCCCGCGCGTCCCGCCGTGGCGCTGACCTGCCGAGCGAGGCCAGCGGCTGGCTGAGGCTGTAGAGCAGCGCGCGGCCGGGGGCGGCGGGGGCCGCCAGCGCGGGCGGGCTCAGCTGCACCATGCGGCCGTCGCCGGGCAGCTCCGCAGGGGCCGAGGCGGGCGCGGGCCCCGGAGGTCTGCACAGCTCGGTGGTGGGCACCCGATGGCGCGCTTCGGCCGCCGCCGCCGCGTCGCGGCCCTTTAAGTCCCGCGCGGCGCCGCCCCCACCGGCGGGGCCGCCCCCCGGACCGCTGCGCGCGCCCAGCTCGATGACCGGGGGCTCCGCAGGGGCCGCGCGGCTTGTCTCCTTGGCGACGCCGTTCAGCAGTACCAGGTGCGGGGGGGCCATGCGGGCCTCGGCCGCGGCCGCGTCCCGTCCCTCGAGCGGGGGGGCACTGTGGGCCGCCTCGCTGGGCGGCCGCTCCGTCATCCTGCGGGCAGACAGACAGACAAGCGGACGCCGGCTCTTACAACCGCCCCCAGCCCACGGAGGGGTGGGTGAAGGGCAGAGAGAAATTCGCGCACCGAGACGTGGGAAGAGGCGGACTTAATGACACGTGGACACACGCCCCCCCACCCTCTCCGGGGCCTGAAGGCCCAGCGGCTGGGCTGGGGCAGGAGGAAAAGAGGGACTTTGGTTTGGGAGAAGAGAGAGGGTGTCTGAGAGACACAGAGACCGAGGAGATGGAAAAAGACGACAGGCACTGGAAGAAAAGGAATACAGCCAGCGAAAGAAAACAGAAGGGGGAAAAAAGGAGGAAGGAAATGTAGAAAGAGGCGAGAAAGAACTAACATCGTGTCCCCCTGCTCAGGCCGCAAGGGAAGAGGAGGGAACAAATCCCCTGACCGTGTTCCTCCCGCCCCCCTTTTGGTTTTGGCGGGGAAACTGGCGCGGAGGTGGGGTGCTTTTCGAACCTCCCTTGCCTCTCAACAAGTAGAGACCTCAGGGAATGGAGGCTGCAGGGCCCGGGGTCCGCCACAGCTGGCAGAGACTCCTGCCCTCCTTTTCAACACATATTCACCCCCCCCCCCCCGGGAGTGTCCCTCTGCACTAAGCAAATACACCGAGTATTCTATGCGGCTGCTGGAAACCCCAGTGGCCTTTTACTCCCCACCAGATCAGAGATGAGACTCGTGGGAGAGAAGATGATCCTAGCCCTAGTCCTCCTCCCCCTCCACATTCCACCTCCTTGAGCTCAGCTGGACTCAGAAATGAGGTGCGGTCTGGAAGGGAGGCTTGGCTAAGTGGATGTGGAACCCAGGCATTCAGAGTGCCCCCAGGCCACTGGGGTCTCAGCTCCCACCCTTGAATGGGAAGAGATATCATGAAGGTCCTTGAATTCTTCCATCCCCTTCTCCTGCCTCTGTTGTAGTCTGGGAAATGGGAGCAATACCTCATTAATGCATTTAAAAACACCGTTCAAATGCTCAAGTAAACATTATTATTGACAAGGAGACCCAGCCAGCGAGGGGACTGCCTTGCCCAAGGTCATGTTAACCTATTTGCCACGGAGCCACAGAGCAAGACCAGAGCTACGATCTCGCTCTGTCTACACTATACTCCTGTATACACCCTCCTATATATATCGCTGGGGCTGAGGACACTCCTTTTCTCCACAACCATACTCCAGGGTGACCAAAGAGGCTCTACTCTCCACTAACCCTTGCTGGTGGAGGGGTGGAAGCTTCCATCACCCTGCTTGGATGCCCATGGAGCCAGGCCCCAAAAGAATAAAAACCAAAAAACCAGGAGACTCTGGGTCTGGAGTTTGGGGGTGCTTTTGAGTTGTTTTAATAAAATAAACACACACACATACACAGACACAGATACACACATATATAATCAAATCGATAGGCTTTATAAGATGTTCAAAATAGGGTTTCTCGTCTCAAAATTAGATGATTGGGATATTTCATAGCATAAAATACACAAAAATCAAATTTGGCCCCAAGCAGATTCCGTCTAATCATTCAGGGCAGCTGTGCTGCCACTGCACCACTCTGGGCCGGGCTGGCCCGAGAAACGTCCTCCCACCCCAGAAGAGAGACCTGACCTTCTGAACCCTCCTTCAGAGCTCAGCAAATTGCCACACACAAGCTGACGGAGAATTGTCATTTGGATTGCGCTTCTGCCCAATGGGTCTGCCAACTCCATGGGCTCACCAGGAAATAACAGAATTCCCCAAGACCTGGTGAAAAGAGCCGCAAAGGCAGTGGGTCCTCAAGGCTTCACTGGAAGTGAGTTTACGACTATGGCGGAAACAATAGATCCCTATCCGCAGAATGGGACTGCCAAGACACTGCACCAGAGGTTTACTAGTCCAGTCTTCCTGGCTCCCCTGCAGCAGGGAAATGCACCAGTAATATACTACCCTGTGGTCAAAGCGACAAGCTCCAAGGTCCTGGCGCCCTACCTTACTGTCCTCACACACCGTTGTGTGCCCAGTGACACGTGCTTCAGCCACAGCTTCTAACTCAGTAACAAACAAACTGTGCACACTGCAAGCTCTCCTTATGACACATTTATACCCTCTGATTAATTCTAAGTCTTCATGTAGGCATGGATCCCGGAGGGGCAAGAGGATCACATATTCCAAATGAGTTGACCCTGGCCCCAAATGCCCTCCCCAGCCACCTATAAATATCTATATCTCGGAGGCTCCCTGTGATAAACCTATGATTGATTCCCAGGGTCTGTGGCCGACCTCTCCCCACCCATCCCCGGACCTTAGGAAAACCTGGCGGGCTGTTCAGCAACCAGGATCATCCAGGGGAGGGGTCCATGCTCCAGAAAAAGCCAACAGAGCACTCATAAGTACCTTTGGTTGTAGGGGACTAAACCCCATCACTTGGCTTTGGTTAAGATTACTGGAAGGAAAGCCTGAGTGATTTTTGTTTGTCCATTTGTTTTTATTTGGGGAAGATGAGAGAGTGTGGAAAAGCTTTTGAACAGAATGACACTAGACTATTTGACCATTACAAGTCCTCTGTCTTTGTGTTGCCCAGAACCAGCTCGAAGCCCCCAACACCGGATCCTCATCTCCTGTTGCCAGATGGCCGCAACATTTCCGCTTGTGTCTGAGCAAGACGGGGATCCCAGGAGCTCCTGGGGGGCAGGCACTAGGTCTCGGGCAGCTCCCAATGCCCGCCAGGGAAAATTTCTCCTATGAAAACAGCCTCTCCTAGTATGTGAATTAAGAGCTAGCTGGCTTCCTGTCCTTCATAATGCACCCACACCCGAATGACCCCCTGGGGGAGCCCCAAGCCTGCTGGAGAACCAAAAGCACCAGTGAAGAGAACCACCTTCCCAGCCACTAGGAGACAGCGAGAGAGTGAGAGAGCGAGGGGGTGCTCCAGCACAGCCCCACCCTAGGCCTTAGGCCCCAGTCAAGGCCCACCCGAGTTGGGACTGCGCTAGCTAGCCGGGGTGGCTGGGCCTTCTTCCTGCCAGCGGCCCAGGCACACACAGCCTGCACCATCCGGTTATAGCCGTGCCAAAGTTAGGAGCCTTGTGAAACACCCACAAAACCAGGACTGATGGGAGCGGCCTGGGGAACTAGGTCCGGCTAGGTGTTTTTACCCAGGATCAAAATGGAAAGGGCTCTAGAAGTCACAGAGACACAGATACCAGATTCCCAGCTCTGGGTTCATCCTTCCCTCCCCCAATTGTAGACTGGACTGTCCTCTGTCCTAAGCTTCCCCCACCCTAGGCCGGAACCCAAGGTCTTCCTGGACACTGTTTCCACTGATACTGTTCCCCCAAAACTCACCTGGGGCATATTTAGAGAAACCGGCCCCTCTGAATAGGATCTCCACTCCGCCGCTGGAGAGGGGCAGGAGCCAAGGTCCAAGCTGCGGACGGGGATCTTTGCTTTTCCCCTCTCTCGCTGAGAGACCAGCAGTTAGGCCACGGTGTGGTCCTGGGCAGTCTGCCGCGCCCAAAGCCAGTTTCCAGGAAAGATGGGGGTGGAGAGAAAGAGGGAGGGCGAGAGGGAGGGAGAGAGAGAAATGGGGGTCAATGGCTGGGAATTACCTCCTGTCGTCGCCAAGCAGCCCAGGGAATTGCAAATGCCTTTCTGCCCCCACCCTGCAGGTGTTTGAAGCTTCCCCCCAGTCCCCCTTTAAAAAGAACCCTACACTTGACCAATCAGGAATAACTATTTACTCCAACAACAACAACAACGAGCTTAAGGTCTGCACCAACCGCGGGAACAATTTCGGGCCCTCCAACGGGGTTGTCTGGTTCAGTGTGGCCGAGTTTGTTTTCTAAGCACTGACGGGTCTATGCGGTTGGCTTGGGAACCCGGGTCAGGCGGGATCAGCGGGCCGCAACGCCTAGCACCACTGGGTGGGTAAATGTGTGTTGGAAAAGGGGAATCCGGTTTTCAGACCCTGATCTGTAGGGCAGAACGTCCAAGGTCCCCATTCTCTCCATGCCCACCTTTAGTGCAAAACGAAACCAGAACCCAATTCCAAAGGCTATTTTCCCACAGGAATGGAGTCAGAACAGCACGGATCCAAGAGGATGGGGGTGGCAAATATCTGATCTATCTGTCCCCTCTTTTCTTCCTACCAATGAGAGAAAAAAAGAGAGAGAGAAAAGAAAGAAAAGAAAAGCCCGCCGCCACCTTCCTTTCAACCATCTCCACACAATGATTTTCATTTTTTCAGTGTTCAGAGTACAGGAGAGTTCTAATAATTCCTTGCAGCAATAAACAAGGCAAAGGCAGGGAGGGTAAAATCCAATACTGCTCCCCAGTGTGTAAGACAGGGGGATCTAGGTTGCATTTTTTCTTCTCCAAAGGGTTTTATTTAATTTGTTTTGCCTAAATTGTCCAGTTTATGATTACACATCGAAATCCTGGATTAATTCCAAAGGACTCCTTTTTGCTCTGGCTTTGGTGGAAATATAGGAATAATTCTTCCCTGGGGTTTCAGTCCAATGCGGGAGATTTTCTTTCTCCTCTTCCAATCCAGATGGTGGGGGAGGGGGGAATCCACTCATTCCCGTGTCTTAGGTCCGGGTTAATTTTTGCTTTATGACAGCGTCTCTGTGCCCCGTTCCTCTCTCCATTTTCTCTCCCTACCTCAAACCCAGCAACTTAAAAATATAGAGCTGGTTGGGGGGGACCGGGCTGCTTTGTTATCGCTCCTAAGAAGCTAAAAGGTTGGACAAGCCACTTCGCTACTTAACGATTACTTTAATTAAATAGAATGATGATGATGATGATGATGATGACATTAATAACAACAATAACTGGCAAAACAAAATCCATTTTTATACAGCGAGAGCAGCACTGACCCCATCCCTCCACAAAGCCTGGCTCTGGTCACCCATGCGACGGATACCTGACCCACACCGCAATGTCGCTCACCCGGGGAAGGGATGGCAAAGTGTTCTTTGTAGATTAACCTGAGGGTCCCCACCCC